ACCCCCCCCCCCCTCAGAAAAAAGAACGTCCCACTATTTGGGAAAAGAAAAGCGAAATTTTTAAAAAGTCGTCAACGGGCTAGCAAGCGTTTCCTACTGTTTACATGGATATTATAACATGTTTCACTGAAGTATGGTCTGGCTCTGAACCTGCGCAGCAATGGGAAACCAACCAGGTAGCTACATTAATAGAACTAATAGTTATATACTCGGAGGCAAAATAAACGTGAAATTTGAATAGCTGTCAAAGGGTTAACGAAATTTCTCACTACTATCGGAGATAGTTAGCCTACACATGGCAATATAATATAAAACATACATACTCATCTTCGTTGGGCTGACCATGTCGTAAGTATGTCTAATTTCAGAAGGCAGTACTGTACTCTCTTGCCTTCTCTTCATTCTGAAATGTTGTCCTCTGGGAAGAGTAGTAAAGTTGGCGCACCCAAAAAGTCCCACAACCTGTCCCCGTGGTTTTATACATGTAAATTTTATGCAAGAAAAATTATGAAATTATGCAAACTGAGCCCAAAATGTGAAATTATGCGATTCTGTTAATTTTAACAAAGAATTATAATTTTAAAAAATCAGAAATTATGCAAAAAATGATCAAATTTTGCTAAATTATGCGGGGTGCATAAAACCACGGGGACAGTACAACTCAACAAGGACACTCTGAAAAAGTATCTGAAGGACTTCGACATAAATCTAAATCCTTTGACATGGGAGAGCCAAGTTCCTGACAGAATCAGAAAGCAGCAGTCACAGAGGGCAGCTAGTCATTTTGGGCTTAACGAATAATAAGAAATAGCCTATTTTATATCTGAAGCCAGAGAGTAACCCGCAAGCTGCGCATACCCACAAGTGGAAGTATTAATGTTCAAACTTTTCTGTGCCTGACCTGGCCTCGTTGGCGTTGGCCATAGCAAAGCCACATCACCTGAACCTTTCAATTTTTCTATTCCGCTGGAGAAATGTTTTCCTTCGCGGATGCATTGTTCATCGTGAAACATTGATGGGCAAACTTTATTATATTATTAAATGATTTAAACACGATGTAATAAAATATTAGAGTGTACGGCTGATTGGGGCAAAGAGAAGACAGTGATTCATCTTGAACGGAAGTTGAAGATTTATGTAAACATAGAAATCTAGTATCTTGGATTTAGACTTAGACGCTTGTGGGTTGTTGTAGTCGTAGGGCTGTGTGCTAAAGTAGTGATATTGTATGTTACACATAATACATTATATTAGATAAAAAATAAAAAAATAAAAAAATCTCCATAAACAGATAGAAGTAAAAGTAAAAGACTTCTCTCTCCGTCTGCTAGCAGTGCTATCACCTCCTTCCACACACACACACACACACACACACACACACACACACA